TCTAAGTAGGTGCCTTAGACCACTGAGCCATCTCTCCAGCCCTTTTCTGTGTTTCTTATATTTGTTCGTTTGGTGAAGATCTTGCTGGGTAGCCCCCGCTGGCCTTGAGCTTGAGCCGGTCCTCCTGCCTTGGCCTCCCCATGCAGAGATTGCAGGTGTGCCGCCCACAGGCATGCCCCCCGCAGGCATGCCCCCCTCACTCCTTTATGCCCCACCAACCTGACTGGCTCACACTGGTGGCTTCGGGGTTGGAACCCGCAGCCTTACTCCTTGGAGGCCAGTGCTGCACACTACCGAGCTCCGCTCCAGGTCTTCTGTTCGAAACGACGTGGCCTTGATGCAGTTGTGCACCCCGTTCTGGGCCTGTGCCACCTCCGGGCTCCCTGGCCCTCTCTGTTTGCTTCTGTGTCTGGAGGTGGGATCCAGCTGTGGGGCCCGAGGGTGTTCAGTGAGGGGAGCACCCAGCATGCCCCAGGGAGTGGCCTGCGCTGTTGAGGCGCAGGGACGCAGAGCAGCCCCCGACAGCTGCAGTGTCATCCTGTGCCTCTGTCCCCCTGCAGATGACAACAGCAACCAGAGCTCCATAGCGGACGCCTCACCCATCAAACAGGAGCACAGCAGCAACTGCAGCCCTGCCCCAGAGCCAGGCGTGGCCCTGCCTGGCGATGGCAACGAAGCGAAGGCAGACGAGGCGCAGGCAGATGGCAAGGAGCACCCAGGGGCCGAAGGTACGGGGTCCGAGCAGGATGGGCATGCCCATGTGGGGGACCCTGCATGCACCGGCCCCCGTAGTGGATGCACAGGGAAGCAGAGGGCAGATGCTTCCTTAGGGGGACCATTAAAACTCAGCCACACTTGTATTTGGAAACTGAGTGTGAAGAGAATTACAGAGTTGGAGAGGTTCCTGAGAGCTGGATGTGGGGTGGCTACAGTCCCAGCACCCCAGAGGGTGAGGCAGGAGGATTGCAGGTTTGAAGCCAAGAACAGTGGCACGTGTCTGTAATCCCACACTTAGGAGGCTGAGGCAGGAGGATCACAAATTCAAGCCCAGCCAGAGCAATTTAGGGAGTGAGGAAGACTTCATCTCAAAAAAAAGAAGAAAGGGCTGAGGAGTTAGCTAGTGCTAGTGCTCTAGGTTCAGTCCCCAATATCTATGTAAATAAATGAAAGAATTGAAAGAGTAAGGTGATATGTCACGTGTCAGCAATTATTGAGGGTTAGGCGGTGGCTCTTTTGGGCTATTGTTTTTATTTTTCCTTTGTAAGTATTGTTTCTGGGGCCCTTGGAAAGCAGGCCATCCGTACACCTCAGGACATTTCGTCCTGCACACTGCAGCATATCTCCATAAGACAGGGACTTTGCTTTCTGTGACCCCCACCCACTGTCACACCAAAGACACAGACAGCCATCTGTGACCACGGTGGACTGAGAGGTTCCCTGCAAGTGTGTCCCCAAGAGTGCCTGCTGCCAGTGCCGCAGGGCCAGGGCCAGGCGCCCCCTGCAGCCAGTTCCCGGGCTGTAGTCACCTGGCCGCTTCCTGCTCTACAAGAACTGAGGTCTCGGATGACCTCTAGCCAGGTTTTGTTTTGTTTTTTTAAATTTGAATGTGATCTCAAAATTTAAAAATTGAACAACTCACTTAAAATAAGATGGATAACCAGGCATGATAGTTCCTGTCTCATCCTAGCATTCTGGGGAGCTGAGGCAGGGGGCCAAAGGTAGAGCCCAGCGTGGCCCATTAGGACCTACGGTGATGGATTTTCTAATTGAAAATTTAAAAGAGAAACTGACTTTGTTTGTTTGTTTGTTTTGAGACAGTCTCCCTATGTAGCCCCCTCTGGCCTCCAGCTCATAGATATCCTTCAGCCTAAGCTACTGGAGTGCCAGGATTTACAGGCATATGCCACTATGCCCAGCTTTTAATTTCTAAGTTTGAGACTGGGGTGTCACTGAATTGCTATATTGCCCAAACTGGGTTTGAATTTGCATCCTCCTGCCTCAGCCTGCTAGACTGCTGGGGTTACAGGTGTGTGCCACTGTGCCTGCTATCTTCCATTATAAAGTTAATCTGAACACAGATAAACTCGGGACATCCATGATGTCGCCCAGTCCCTAAAGGGACTGCTGAGTTCCTGGTCACCGCCTGGTGGATGACGCAGTAAGAAAAGGCAGCCTGGGCTTCTGGGAAGGCCCCCTGCATTGGAGGTAAAGCTGCCTGCCAAGAGCTTTCAGGGTGCACAGAGAGGAGGAAGGAGCGGGTGTCCCCAGGCAGGGCACAAGTCTCTGAAGGGAGTGGTGTGAGCAGGTGGCTGAAGTTGGGGCTGGGGGTCTTGGCTGGCGTGCAGCCCCCCTTTGAAGAGGCTGGCCAGGCGGTCAGTCCCCAGGTGCAAGGACCTTGGCAGGGACCAGGAGGACTTGCAGGGCAGCGTGGGGCTCAGCACAAGTCCACCCAAAAATGTGGGTCTCAGTGCAGCTCCCCCTTCCTAAGCACCACCCCCAAATCCCAAGCAACCCCTTCTGCCTCCCGGTCACCATGCAGCCAGGCCTCCCCAGGACAGGGCGTCCTCCCCATTCTGTCTCAAGGCTTCCCACCACGCTCAAGTGGAAACGGCCCTGCTCTGACATAGCCCTGCTGTGCTCCTGCAGGTTCTTCCGGGTTCGGGTTTGGGTTTGGTTTTGTCTGTTTGTTTTTTAAGCTGGGGCCTGGCATAAGCTGTGTGTGTGTGTGTGTATGTGAGAGAGAGAGAGAGAGAGAGAGAGAGAGAGAGAGAGAGAGAGAGAGAGAGAGAGAGTGTGGTGCTGGAGCCTAGCTTCATCTTTTTGTCACACACTTGTAGCCAGGTGCTCTGATGTGCGATATGCACATTGCCTTGCTCCTTCACCCCGTGGGCATGGAGCTGAGGACCCAGCCTGGGTCTCTGTGCTCCATGGGTAGAACTGGGATTGTGGCTCCCTGTTGAGGCATTGGTCCCTTCCCAGCACCCCAGGACAGAAGCTCATAGGACTGAACTATGTGGGGGTCCTGCTGTGTCCTCAGGGAGTGTGTGCAGAGGGGACTCTGCTGGAGCCGGGCTGCTCCACCTCAGTGCTGGTGACAGCAGAGACAGTGGCTCCTTGTTGCAGACTGCCCTGTGCTCTGTGGATTTAAGGCTGCCCCCCGGTCTCTCCACACCGATGCCAGCAGCTCTGTCCCCCAACCTGTGGCACTAAATATGTTTCCAGACAGTGCCAGTGTCCCTGAGAGGAGGCCTGTTGCTGAGTGTCAGGAGGGTTTTGCTGCAGCCCTCCTCTGCAGCCCTGGTGGCTGCCACCAGCCTTCCAGGGCTTCTGGTCTGTTGGACAACTTAGCTTTTGCGTGGTCCAGGCCACTGTTACCTGGCTGAGTACTCCAGGTGGGGACTGACCTCCTTTCCTGGGCCTCTTCTTTGCTTATAAAATGGGATGGAGAAGTCCCTCTCCTGTCAGGTTGCTGCGAGGACCAAAGGGGACAGGAACAGAGGACAGAAGCAGCCGCAAAGTGCTCTGACAAGCAGTTGTCCACTCTCTGTTGGGGAGCAGTTGGGGGTCACTGCAGCAGACATGGATACATCTTGGCTTCTTTCCACCACACCCCAGCAGCTCCCATGTTTGGGTTCTGTGCCTCCCTTACCCAGAAGGCAGCTACAGTGACACCGGAGTTAGATGTCCCTGAAATGCTCCTTTGACCACCATGCCGGGTACCAGTGCGTAACACCCTACCGCTAGAAGCTTTAGAGGCATAGCTGGAGGTTCCTCTACGCCATCCTGGACCCTGGGCCTGCACCCTGTGGCCCCCCGGGAAGGTGCGGACAAATGGCATGGCCTCCCAGGTGGCTACGCCAGACCCTGCAGGTTGGCCACCAGCTGGTGACCTTGCTTTGAACTTGTTTACTGCTGAGCTAGTTCAGGGAGTGACATAATGTCCGCACTCCCTGGACTAAATTTAGGCCCCAGGAAAATAATTTCCCCCAGGGTGAGTTCCAACGCCAGCCCCCTCTGCGAATGCGGCTGCTGCCCGAAGCCCGTTCATGCTGGAGTCCTGGGCCCCAGGCCAGTTCCCACCACCAAGGAACAGCACTAGGTCAGCTCTGTCCGTGTCCCCCCTATGACTGTGCCCTCTTCTCCTTTATCTGCAGGACTAAAAAAACTGTGGCCACAGAGCTGGAGCCGCAGATGTGGCGGAAGCATTTTATTTTATTTTATTTATTTTTGCGGTACCCAGGGATCGAACTCGGGACCTTGCACACACTAGGCAGGCATTACACTGCTGAGCCATCTCCCCGGCCCATGGTCGGTAAGAATTTTAAATGCTTTGGCTAAAGCAAGTGTATTATGAAAGGGTAAAAATTAACATGGATCTCTTTTCCTTATTTTTTAAATTTTTATTTTAAAACTTTTTAAAAAAATCTTTTTTAATTAATTAATTTATTTATTTATTTGGTACAGGGACTCACTATGCAGCTCAGACTATAGTGATCCTCCTGTCTCAGCCTCCCTAGCCCTGGGATTACAGGTGTGCACCACAATGCTTGGTTTTAGTGGCCGGCTCAGTGTACCCAGGGTTCTGGGGCTGGCATAGCGTGTGGTACTGGGGATCAAACCCAGGTCCTTGCGCTTATGAGGCAGGCACTTAGACTGTGGAGCTATCTCTCCAACCCCTCTTTTCTTTATTAAGAAATTTAAATAAAATTAAATGCTTGGGGCTGGGGTGGGCTCAGTAGTAGACCTCAAGCTTAGCATGCATGAGGTCCTGAATTTGATCCTCAGTAGGAAAAAAAAGATTTAAGTTAATCTGTGTGCTTAATGGGGCATGGTGGCGTACGCCTATGGTCCCAGCACTTGGCAGGGCAGGCTCAGGCAGGAGGATCACTGAGAGTGAGGCCAGCCTGGGCTGCAGACAGTAGTGGGTTCAAGGCCAGCCTGGGCTACTTAATGAGACCAAATTTAAAAAACAAAAGCAAATAAAAATAAGAAAATATGTTAATCTGTGTGTGTGCCTTCATGCAAGTATATCCGTGCAACTAGAGGTCACGCCCAAGGGCCGGCCCACTACCACTGAGCTACACCACCGGCCCTTGTTGATCTTTTTATTTCTGAGTCACTGAGTTGCCCAGGTTAGTCTCAGATCTGTGACCCTGCCTCAGGCTCCCCGAATGCTGGGGTTACTTGTGTGTACCACCATGTCCAGCTGAAGTTAATTGTTTGAGAGAGACAAGGTCTCACTGTGTAGTCTAGGCCGTGCTTCAACTCACTTTGTAGCAGAGGCTGGCCTTGAAGTCATGGTGCTCTGCCTGCATCAGCCTCCTGATTACAGGGTGGACCATCATGCTTGGCTTTGAAAGGAACCATTTTTTAGTGAACAGCAGTTGAGTGGCACTTAGTGCATCCACGTTGCTGTGGACAGTCTCCCGAGCGCTAGAGCGCTTTCATCTCCTCGAAGAAATGGTCCTCACTGGTAGCCACGCCCCGCCTCTCCCTCCGCCGCGCCCCGCTTCTCCCGCCGCCGCACCCCGCTTCTCCTGCCGCCGCGCCTCTGCCTGTGTGCCTTTACCTGTGGGGGGAGGGACTCGGTAACATGGTGTGATCTGTGGCTTTGTGCCTGGTGTCCCTGACACAGCATCGTAACGGTTCTCGTTGGCTCGTAGGGCAGGGCTTGAACCTCCCGCTTGCCCAGTGCCAGGCAAGCTCTCTGCAGAGCCACATCCGCAGATCTCTTTATTTTGAGGCAGGCTCTTGCTGAGGTGCTCTGGCTGGTCTTGAGCCTGAGATCTAGCTTCCTTCCTCAGCCTCTCTGTAGCTAGGCCCACAGGCGCCCCCGCCCCCCGCCCGTCCTGTCACCTTTCCATCCACGTTTACCTGTGCCCGGCCGCCCTGTGGTGCTTGGTTCCTGCTGGCGGCGGAATGGCACCCCGCGGTGTGCTGTGCGCAGGTCTGTTTGTGCACCACCGCTCACTCGAGGGCTCTTTCCACCTTGGGCTACTGTGAGTAGTGCCACCAGGGACACCAGAGTGCAAGCAGCTCTTGAGAGCTGGACAGTGACCTTGTGGCAGCAGCAAGCGGACTTGTCCTGGCAGCGGAGACAGGTCAGGGCTGCTGCCGGGGAGCCCCAGAGAGTTGGCCAGCGACATCTCCTCTCCCTACTCGGCCGCCGGAGGGGACTCCACCAGCTCCTCCCGGTGTCCCTACCGCTTGGTTTCCAGTTCTAGTCCGTGCTTCTTTTTCTCCTTTGTCACTTCTCTGCCTTAGAAGCCCCAGAAAGCCAGCTTGGGGTGCTGGGGCACTGGCTAGTGTCATTTTAGTGAGCTCTTCGAACACCAGGATGAGGCCTTGCGTGCGCTAGTGTAGGCCTGAGTGGGATCTTGTCCCCTTCCTAAGTCCCAGCAGCACCAGGGAGCCCACAAGCGCCCCCTCCCTCCTCTGAGCCGTGTCCCCTCCCCAGCCCAGACTTTCCTTCTGCAAAGTCACTGGGGACCAGTGGCTGTAGGATGCCGTGCTACTGGAATACAGGAAGATGGCCTGCCCAGGGGCCTCTAGAGAGAGGGCTGCGTCTTCTCGCATGTTGGTGCAGTGCAGCGAGATGGCGATTGTAACTTTTCTGTCCTGGATTCCCTGTTTCCTGAAATGATCAGTCATTTCTCAGACCTTGGAGAAATACTCATTATGCAAAGAAAGGTTTATAGGGTTTGCGCCCTTCTGGCGACCACCGGAGGAGCCCACACAGCCTCGCTGGCCACCTGCCTGGACAGGAATTCACAGCCGTGGCCGTGGGGTGTGCAGGCCACCAGAGGGCGCCAGGGGCTGCAGCATCGGAGCTGTGCTGTTCAGCCTGGCAGCAAGTGGAGGTGCACAGAGGGCTGCGGCCTGCAGCCTGCGTGTGATCTGCTGCGGCCTGGCTGCCTAACGCAACCTCGCTACCACATGAACAAGAGTTTTTGCAGGCCCCCAGCCCAGCCCACTCCAAAAGATACCAGCCACAAGACAGTGTACCTTGTTCTGGATATTTTTAGAACGAGCCCATCTGCTCTCGCCTGTCACGTGTCTGAAAGCAGCTTCTGTCATCTTGCTCTTTCTTCCAGACACCACTGACGAGCAGAACTCACAGTTGTCGATGGAAAACTCCAACAGTTCGGAGAAAGTGGATCGGCAGCCATCAGCAGAGTCGGGGCTGGCCACAGAGTCGTCCACAACCTCTCAGGTACCCAGGGGTTGTCGGCCATGGTGGTAACTGCCTATAATTCCAACAGGCTGGAAGCCTGAAGCAGGAGGATCACAAGCCCCTGTGTGGCCTGGCAAGTGCAAGGTCCTGAGTTTGATCCCTGGTACAAAAAAAAAAAAAAAAAGAGCCTGTGATATAGCTCAGTGTGACATTCTGGGTTCAAGCCCTAGTACTGGAGGCAAGAAGGGGAGATGGGGTAGAGGGAGGGAGATGCTGTTGTTTGATTTTATTTTAGACAATCAGAAAAGTCTCCTGGTCCCTGAGAACCCTCAGTGAGGCTCATTTGTGTTCTGCCCCAGGCACTGGTACTGTAGTGACTGGGGACACGTGGTTCTGCTCCCAGGGAACCTCTATAGCGTAGAGGAGGAGGTCACAGCTTCGGGCCCAGAGTCAAATCCACTGCCCCCAGGACCCCAGCCCACATCTGTCGGGACTAGGAGATGAGGCCTTAGAAACCAGAGCCCGAGTCAGCCTTGAAGTCCACAGCTGAGCCTGTAGCCCTCCCTGCTTGGGTCCTTCTCTGAGCTGTGCAGATAGGGGTCCTGTGATGACAGCTGATGTCCTGGAGGCAACCTGGGTTCAAATTCCAGTACCATCTCTTCAGAGCTAGGCCTCAACTAGGCAAGGAGGTGCAGACCCATCCCTGGCCTCAGGGAAGATTAGGGGAGAGCTTGGCCTTGTCACTGTGAGGCCTTTAGGTTAATCTTAGGGGAACAGGGCCCAGGGCAGGGTGACACCTGCTGCTCCCCAGGCTCATTCACCTCGGGTCTCCTCTTTCTCTCGCCTCAGGATCTGGAAGGGGGGCCACCCTCCAAGAAGCTGAAGCTGGAGGCCTCGCAGCAGAACCCTGAGGAGATGTAGGCGCCGGCTCCGTCCCCGGCCGTGTGTCCTGGCGGGGGCACCTGTAGGCTGCTTCCTGAACCCTGCAGCCCAGGCGGTGCCCTCGGGTGCAGACAGAACACTCAGTTCCCGGTTTACCAAGATGAATCCAAGGACACCCGACCTGGTATGACTTCTCAGTCACTGAAGACATCTGCTGCGAAGTGAGACCCCCGAACCTTGAAGGGACCCTCCTCAGGGAGGTGGGCGACAGCTCAGGAGTCTGCACACTGTCCTGGGAGCCAAGATGACATTTGTGTTGCTGCTGTGTCCCCCCCTCTATCTCACAGGATAAGCTATGGGAGGGCGGCGCCCATCGGGAGCCCGCTTCCTGTCGGGGGCTTTTCACTGTTCCACCAATTCCTTCCGCTTTCTTTTTCTGTGCCTTGTGCCCTTGAGGTGACCTCTGGCATGTCTCCTGGTTGTTTTGCGTCTCCCTTTGCAAAGTGCCCTCTTGGCGGCCACCACCTGACCTGCCTCCCTCCTCCCAGCCCTGGGACTGCTCCAGAGCTGGTAGGGCGGAGCTGCGGGAGAGCAGGGTGCCCTGAGCCCAGCCTGGCCTCCTGCTCCACACCTCACCCTCGCCTGCCCGGGCCTTGGGTGCTGGGTGCTCCTGGGACCCACAAAGCCCAAGGATGTCTCTGGCACTTCTGCACTCCTGTCCCCACGATGGCTATCACTTCCGTCCTCTGCTGTCTCCTGGTTTTGAGGACATACTGCAACTCATCTGAGACAGCACTGGGGCCAGGGAGGCTGGGAGCAGGCGGCAGGCCCAGCTGGTGCTGACCCCTCCTGGGACGTTGCTGGATTCAAATCCATGGGACCCGCCGCCCCAGTGCCCCTCCCCTTGCGCCCGCTTTGCATGGTACCGACTCTCAGAGCTACGGCATTGGGCATGTTCCCAGGACAAGCCCTCGGTCTCAGCAGAGAGTGGCCTTGATGATTGGGCCTTAAAGGCCAGAAAAAGGCACCCAGGACTTGGGAAGCTTTGCACACCTTCCAGGAAGGAGCGCCCCGCAGAAGGGCCCCTCGTCCCTACCCTGCCCACACCGGGACAGAGTCCTGTCTCCATGAAAATGACAGACAACTGCCCAACTGTCAGTTCTGGGGCCTGGTTTGTTCTAATGACTCCAGACTCCTCGGACCCTAAACCTTTTCCTAAGCTTTCTTTACTGCACTGGAGTTCTGGCTCCCTTTGAGTTGTGTGTTATGGGGGTTAGGGGCTGCGGGTTTTGTTGTTTTGTTTTTGTTTTGTTTTGGGGCTAAATTGGTGCATATTCAGGTACCACCTTTGCTGTGGGGCTCTTTCTCTGACCACCATGGGAAGTGTCTGCCAGATTCCATTTTCTAAGAGTTTCTGAGGGCGAAGCTCCTATTCTTTTTTTTTTAAAGGAGCCTATCTATTTCCTGCACTTCAAGAAGAATCAGAAATGTTCCTGAATTTCAAATACCTCATGCAAAATGTCTCCTGAAATAAGGGAAAAAAACTTTGAAAATATTAATGTTGAAGTTAGCAATGCTGAAAGATTTGTCTTAAAAAAAAAAAAAAAATCCTTGTACTTCTCCATCCTGCCCTCAGGCAGCCAGTTCTGCTGAGAATTGCGACCTGGGTCTCGTCCCAGCTGTGACCTGACGCTCGACCTGGCAGCCCATCTGAGGTGCGAGGCGCTTGACCTCCAGATCTTGGAGCTAGGGTGATGCCTTTCTTTGCAGCAAAAGTATTTCAAGGCAAGACGAATTGGGATATTTATTTCTCTAGGGAAATGAGAGGTGACAGCTATGGCGAGTCCCCCCCCCCACTATCCACAGGGCCAGCTGGCCAGCTGGGACCCCCTGCATCTCTCTGGACGGGCAAGAGCAGCTGGCACAGTGGGGGATGACAATGACGAAGATCGTGGTCCCCAGGCTGTCCTTCATTTCCCTCTGAAGTGCCTGTAGGTAGGAATGGGCCAGTGGCAGGGACCAGCCAGGCCCTGCCACGGCCACGGCCAGGCCAGGCAAAGCGCCGGCAGCCCTGCTTGCCCTGCCAGCCAGACGCCTTCCACGCGGATCGGTGACACTGCAGAAATCCAATGTGCTTCCTTCCCAGCCACCCACCGGCGCTCTGTCCCCAACGCAGAACCCAAGACCTGGCCACGCCAGGGCAGATCCTCGGGGACACCAGGCCCTATGGCTGCCAGGGTTCCCAGGGCAAACTTGACCCCCGAGACTGAGGTGGAGAGGCTGTGGCTCCACGTCGCAGAGGGCCGGCACCAACCCTGGAGCCCTGAGCCTGAGGACCACTTCTAGGTGGTGACCGCCATCGTCTGGTGGTGTCACGTTCGGAATGTTCCCTAGCACCGAGGACCTGCTTAGAGGGATAAAGACCTTTTCACCGTTACTTTTTTTTTTTTCCTCTTATGATTTTTTTTTTTTTTTTGGTGTGTTGTACAGCAGTATAATTTTTCACTTATTTATTCCATCAGTAGATATGGTTTGTACAATGTACAATGGTTCCATTTCAGAAAATAAAATTCAAATCATGAGTACATGATATTTGTGTGTGTGTGTGTGTGTGTGTGTGTGTGTGTGTGTGTGTGTGTTGGGGGGGTAACCCAGGGCTTGGCTGTGATAGCCACAGCCCATTATGTTTTGAGACAGGATCTAAGTCACTTGGCAACTGCCCAGTCCTCCTGCCTCAGCCTCACAGGGTTCTGGGATTCCAGGTGTAGGCCAGCAGACCAGGCTGCTCTGGGGTTGTACTACATTAAAGAGTGAAATCAGACAAGTACAAGGATCTCTGTCCCTGATTGCACGGGGAGGTGGGCTGCTGGCATCTGCTGGGGTGGCCTCATTTCCGAGCACCCGCCCTAGGAGCTCCTTTCTATGGGCAGGTGGTGTCATTTTCCGTGCCGGTGAAGAAGCGAAGAGGCAGGCTCGTTCAGCTTGTGTGGCCAGGCAGGCCCCAGTCCGAAAGCTCTGCCCAGGTCCAGAGTAGCTTTGTAGCAGAGTACAAGGGCCCTGTGTTCAATTCCCATACAATAAAACATTGAAGAACAGATAAAAGTCACCTCCAGTTCTGGCTTCCTGGATTTGGGGCCGCTTGGGAAAGGTGGGTTGCGATCCTGTCTCGACCTGGAGGCGGGGGGGCTGTCTTGGCCCTGAGGGTCGGGCTGGATCCAGAACCTTCCAAGGGCCGCCCCTCCCAGCTTGGCTTCCTCACTGAGCAGCTTGCACTTTTCCTTCCAGCCAGGGGAAGCCTCCAGGAGCTGCTGAAAGGAACATGGCTAGGGCAGGACAGGCTCACCTGGAGACAAGCACTGTCCCCTCCTGACCTGCCACCCCTCCGCTCACCCAGCTGCCTCACACACTTCAGGCTTGTTTGTTTTTTTTACCAGAATCGGTCGCTCAGCTAACTCAGCTCCTGATATGAAAAGTCCAGCCGGATGAAACAAGCCACTGGGGCCTCCCCGTGTGCTTCGCAGCTCGGAGAAGCTACAAGCGGCTGCGGCTCTCCTGATGAGCTCCCTTCCAGACCCCTCCCCCAGAACTGTTTCTCAGTACTGGCAGTTGAACCCAGGCCCTTTGTACTAAGCTGCAGCCGCCAGCTTTTTGGCTTTTGTTTTAACATAGTCTTGTCAAGTTGCTAAATTGCCCAGGCGAGGCTCGAACTCGCCGTCTTCATGCCTTAGCTTCCCCAGGGCTGGGCCTGTAGGTCTGTGCACCACACCCAGCCTCTCGTGGGGTCCTGCCTTTTCTCTCTGCCGCTGGTCTCCAGCTCCGCATCTGTCTGATGCTCTGTTCTCTTCTTTGTCTCGGCCTCTGGCTCTATAGAGCTAGCTGTACAGCTTCTTCTGCTGTCTGCCTTTACTGGGGAGCAGCCAAGCATGGCTGGAGGGTGGGTTTCATGGAGCCCCATCTCTGCACTGGATCCTAGACAGCAAGATTCAAATCTGATTTTACTTCTAGGCCTAAAAGTGAGCCAGAGCCATGTGGTAGTGCATGCCTATAATCCCAGCACTTGGGGTGCAGAGGCAGGAAGGTCGCTGTGAGTCCGAGGCCTGCTTGAACCACACAGTGAGTTCAAGGCCAGTCTGAAACATGGAGTGAGAACCTGTCTCAAATAAATACATATGTACATATATACACACATACATACATACAAGCGGGCCAGGGCATAGCTGGAGAGAAGGGAGGGTGCTTGTGGATGGAGGGGAAGGAGCTCCTAGGAGGGAGAAGGAACCCCGGGCAGGAGCTAAGAAAGTTTTTCTTGTTTCTTGCTTTGTTTGCTGTACTGGGTGGAGACTGGACTCAGGGCTTTGCACATACTACCCAAGCACTCCACCTTGGAGCCACACTCCCAGCAGCTTTTATGTCTAACTTCCTCTTACCTCTCGGAAATGCAATTTTCCTCCCCCCAGTTGCATTCCTTTCCTCTCTCAGCAGAATTCTCTCTCTCTCTTTCTCTCTCTCTCTGTAAGTGGGGCTAGATTAGCCAGTCCCAGTTTGTATGGTCCTTCTACCAGGTTGCTGCCATTGGTTCATTTTTTAAAAATTAATTTTATTGAGAAATAGCAATGAGACAGTTTCAATACAGGTTATTAATACATTGCATATTGTTGTCTTCGTAGTAGTTATTCATAGTACAAGATGCAGACATGATATCCTGTCCAAACACTATTAGTGCAAATGTTTCTTCTCATTGAATTAAGAGAAAGTAGCTGTATATCGATCCTATTTTGTATATACAGATAAAAAATGGTCCTTCATTTATATCCCCTTTTTTGTTTAGTTTTGTCAGAGATGAGTATTCTATTGCCATTTAAATATTGTAAGTGCATGAATTCAGCAAAGTAATCCAATATAGTCCAGTAGTCCGTAATAGTAGTGGGTTATCTATAAGACTGGCAATGTCAGAAGTTGTTGACTTGAGCCTTTTACAACTCAGTATATTAAAATGGCTTTATTTTTTATACCTCATTCTTATACTTTTCTGCTGGATGGCTAAGGACAAGATAAAGCAAGACCTATATAACAAGAAATGTAACTTTGTATCTGATAAGGTCAGTCAAGTACCCTCAGGATTTACCCTGTAACCCTGTACCGCAGGTTGCAGATCCTTTGTCAGTGGCAACCACGTGGATGAGTCACGGCCTTTGCTTGACCAATTTGCTCTCTGTGAAAGCCTGAGAATGTTTCCTCTCTAGGTGACTCTCTTTACTGCCATTGGTTCGTGAATGAGCACGTGACTCCAAGTGGGCCAATGAGAGTCAGCCCTGAGATTTTTGTGGGAACTGGTGGGAAAGAGTTCTTCTGCCGTAACACGGCGGGCGAGGTGTTCAGTGTAGCAGTGGGTGACTCACTCCTATAATCTCAGCACTCTCGAGGCTGAGGCAAGACGATTGCTGCCAAGTTCCAGGCCAGAATGGGCTACATAGTAAGTTCAAGCCCAGGCTAAACTACATAGTGAAACCCTGTCTCTAACTAAATAATAAATTAAAATGTGATCTGCTGGGGTGACTTTGCCCCTGTTGGAAGAAGCCTGTCCAAGAGTGAAGCCAACACAGGAAAAAGCTGGTGAGAATGACCTTTCACGAGCAGTGTGCTTCAACCCTTGGCCCCAGCCAGCCCTGTAGCCCTTCTCTTACTTTGAACTTTCCAGTTTATGGGCTGATAGCTGTCCTTGATGAGTTAGCCTAGTATCGGTTACCTTTCGATTACCGAGGGAAAAACTTAACATAAAATATATGGCGGCCAAAAGGTTCACTGCGGCATTTACTGTTTCAGAGGGTTCGGTCCGTAGTCAGCAGGCTCAAAGGCAGAACCTCCACGTGGAAAAGTGAGGTGGAGGAAAGCTGCCAGCTCAGAGCCTGGAGGGGCTGATCCAGATGGACACTTCCAGGTGTCCTGACACCTGCTCCCTCCCATGGGGCCCTAACTGCTGATGGCCCATGCAGCTGTGAACCTGCTGTGGATGGACCCAAAGACTTAGCTGCCAGCACCCTCACAATCCCCCAACCTTGAGCATGGCAGCCTTGAGTT